TATTTTTAAACCTTTTCTTGATGTAACTCTAGATAATGCAACATATAATTGACCATGAGTAAAAACAGGTTCAGGAAGATATAATCCAACTTGTTTCAAAGATTGTCCTTGGCTTTTATTAATGGTCATTGCATAACATGGTCTAACTGGAAATTGGCGTCTTTTTAAAATAAAAGGCCATTTGCTTTCAGTTGCTGCAAGAGTGATTCTTGGTATGAAAACTTTGTGACCAATATTAGTTCCAGCAAGAATTTTAGCCTCAATAATTCTATCAAATAATTGTGTCACAATCAATCTAGTTCCATTGCATAAACCCAAAGATTGGTTTAAATTTCGTAATAACATAATTGGCATTCCCACTTTTAAAATGAGATTGTGTGTAGGCAAACCGTTGAAATCAAGTTTGTTTAAAAATTCTGTAGGATACATTGTTTCAAGATTTTCAAAATTTCCATTTGAAGAACACAAAGAATCATAACTTAAAAATGTATGATGTTCTCTAGGTAATAAATTAGTTATATAATCATTTACATCCGACACAGTTGTGTTTCGAGGTGTAATAATAGCTCGTTCTCTTAGATATACAAAATCGTCAAAAGAATTTTCAAAATTGGGAAAAGTTGCACAAGAGATTGCAGCAATTGGGTTTGTGGAAGAATGGATTATTAAATCTTTAGGTATTTCAATCACAGATGTATCAATGTCATTTGAATCATTTAGTGCATCTATGTTATCAATTTCTCCATCACCTACTTTTAAAATCCAATTTGCAAAATCTTTGATTTTTTGTTTTTCATCAATGCTTATATCATTTCTTAACAACCTCATATTTTCTTTTAAACGAAAAATTTTAAAATGTGGCCACAAATAAGAATTGTTTAAAGAAGCATTTATTATATCTTCTTTGTTTGCTCCAGGAATAACAGGTAATATTTGTCGAAAATCACCTCCTAATAAAAGGGGTTTACCACCAAATGGAACAATGTTATTCGGAGCATGTAAATGTGATAGAATATCAGAAAGTGATTTATCCAATGCTTCAAAACAATATTTATGATTCATAGGTGCCTCATCCCATATAATCAAATCAGTTTTTTCAATTAATGTGGCAAGATGAGTTTTTTTCTTTATTGGACAAATTGATGTATCAGTAATAACCAACGGAATTTTAAACCTAGAGTGAGCTGTTCTACCATTTGGTAATAATAATGATGCTATTCCTGATGATGCCACAGCTAAAACAATTTTGCCTTCAGATCTAAGCTTACTTATAATTGTATCCCATAAAAATGTTTTTCCAGTACCTCCATGGCCATAGACAAAAAAATAATCCTTGTTTTCTTGTATTTACAGTATCTATAACAGTATCATATACATATTTTTGTTCTTCATTAAGTTGTGATTTCAATATTTCATGTTTTCTATATAATTCTTGACAATCATAATTTAATTCTTCTCTTAAAAGTTTATTTTTTTATTTCTAGCATCTTTTTTTCATCAGGCATTGGCAAACAATGTTTTTGCAAAGAGCTAGATGCATTGTTAAAAAGTAATTCTAGCTCAAATAAGACAGAATTTTTTAGTTCATCTTCCGGAACAATCATATTAGGAATTGCAAAAGTTTTTTGCAGCTTGTATAAAATATCGTCATACATATTTTTCCAATGAGTATCAAAAAGAATTTCAGGATTTGCAACATCGCAAAACAAAACTATTGTAACAAATAATTGTCTTAACTGAGGAGATGATGCAACATGTGTAGCAGTTGATAAAGCATCTAACCATTCTTTATCATCACCTAATAATCCTAATGATTTACATGCAGCTTGATATGAAGAATGGAGAACACCATTAACAGTTTTGATATCATCAAAATTCAATGCACCTTTTTTCAAATTTAAAAGCATTCTTAAATAATATAACTCACCAGATGCAGGGTGCACATATGCTATCCTACCAATTGATCCTTTGCGTTTCCTTGGCTTCCAAAACTTCTGTCGTCCATCATATAAAAACTTGGATGGCATCTGAGCATAAGTTAGCAAGCGTGATTCATTATAAATTTTATTTGCTTCAAACCAAGCTGTTAACATAGTATGTTCAGAAGCTCTCTTTGATTAATAATTGATTCCAATGATTGATTACCACTGAAAACAATGTTTTTGTTCTAATGGTAAATGGACAGGTAATCGCTCAACAGAAGGTTCTCTATAATGTATTGAATATTGGAACAATCTCCAAACAGCCTCATATGGTGATATGTATCTACAATTGAGATATGCTAATATTTCATCATTTGAATCTTCTTGAAGAAGTAACCGTGCTCTATCTGAACCTTTATTAATATATTTGAACAAATACTTTATAAGCATAGATTGACAACATGATTCAACATTTATATGAGCATTGTATCTCAAAAGTAGTTCTGCATTATAAGGAACAACAAAGCTATTATCAATTTTGATGCCATTTTTTATGAAAAATTTTGTATCATCGTCACAACGCTTATAAATTGGAAAACCATTAGGCTCAAATAGTGTTTCATTTTTATATGGTTTTGGAAAATTTTTTGAACACTTATTTTCTCGCATGCAAGGAGACTTTGAATTAATGTGACCACATGGACCATGAATCATAAATTGATTAACAATTTCATAAAGCTTTGGATTAACAATTTTATCTGGTATTTCAGCTGAAATAATAGAATCTATATCACATGAGGAATGACACTTGAAGTTTGATTTTAACCATATTAATATATGAGAATGAGGCAAACCTCTTTTTTGAAATTCAATCGTGCAAACATCTGTTTATAAGAAAAATAAAAGAAAACAAACAAACAGAGAAAAAAATTATGTTAGGTCAGAAAAAAATAAATAAACATTAATAAAGGAAAAGAAGGACTCTTAGAGACTTACTTGCTTCAACTTCTCCAAAAGGTTTTCCAGATTTTATAAAGTGAAGCATATCATCGAGTTTCATTTTAAATACTCTGGAAATTATATCAGGCCTATCTTCAGGTTTGAATCCTGGTTTTTTCTGAAATTCTCTTATGATTTCTGGCCACTTTATATTGCATGTGAATGTTATGAATAAATTAGGATGTCCATATTCTCTGCAAATAGCCATTGCATCTTGATAATTATTAATCATATATCTAGGACTCCCTGTGTATGAAGCAGGCAATACAATTTTTTGTCCCAAATTGTTTGCATCATTATCACCCCTTGACATCGCATCATAAATTCCTTTGTAAACTTCACTTCTTAAATTTTTTTGGTTTTGCCTAATGTAATCTAACCTATCTTCTTCAAGTGTTGCATAAGAATCAACCAAATATTGTTGAAAAAGTCTCCCCCCTTTTAACAATGTTGTTAAGCATGGTTCTCGTTCTTGAATTTGATACGCTATAAAAGCTCTCATGGGTATCCTTTGTCTTTTAGTCTCTGAACCCTTATAATTTTTGTTCCATTTTAAATCAGGTCTATAACCATCTTCACCGTATGGGAAAAGAAGAGGATATTGCAAAGACATAAATTTTGGATTTAATTTTGTAACACGCTTTAATCCTTCACTTTTAGACTCAATAATAATATCTCTATTAGAATCAGCAAGTCCTATATCACCAACTATCAGACCACTTATTTCATCACTTGTTGGTTGGTCATATTGTTTACCATCTGTTGTTTCTCTTGCTGATAATCTCATTTTCAAAGAAGTGAGTCTATTAGTTTTCAAACTTATCTCTTGCTGTTCGAAAAAGCTTAACTAACTCATTTGACATATCAAACATCTTAATCAAACCTTCAACAATTTTTGGATCAAGCTTTCTATTATTTCCATCAGATTCAAAAGCCTTCAATCGATTTTGCACTTCATTGTATGTATCATAGACATATAATTGTGCAAATTTTGGACACTCATTGTCAGCAGGCAACAGAGATCCCATCAAATGGCAAACTTGACCACTAATTTTGAAAATATAAGGACCTGAACCATCATTAATTGAGTGATCAATTTTGGCTCCCATCGAAGTAAATGAAAACATAGAATTGTAAGCTCTAATATTTTCTCGAAATGATAAACTTTTTGGACCACCATTTGGATCAAGCAAAGATTCTAAAAAAGGCGGTGTTGGTTTTGGATTTGGAAAAGCAATTTTTCCTTGTTGACAACAAAGAGTGAGAATAGGTTCATCTTTTTTACATACTTGCTTAAGAGACTCTTTCAACCAAAAATAGGCACCGCAGTGACTACATTTATAATTCTTATCCCCAAAATCCACATTATACCTATACTAAAACCCCAACGACGTGGTACTGTTCACGGACAGTGCACGGACTAAAATGCCCCTCGATTTGTTTGTTAAGCCAAATTTTTGTCATCTTTTCCACAGTGAAAAGACTGCCTTGCCCTCAAAGGCCACGGGTTGATACTTTCCTGTTTCCTTTTTTTTTTCTATATTGTTGTAGCTATCTACTAAAGCAGTTCCCGTCCACTGTTCATCCTGTGAGAGGGCTACTGTTCATCATGTGTATCTTCTTTTAAATTCTGACTCCCTCTTCGATTCCAGCGTTTTTCCCTTACCTAATCCACACCTGGCAGCAAATGGTACCTGCCTTTCCATAAAAAAAATAATTAAAAAACCATACCTGATCCACATCTGGCAGCAATGATGCATGCCTTTCCACCAAAAAATAATTAAAAAACCAAAAATCTGGAACATGCAGAATAAAATGGATAGAAAAGGGGAAAAAGAAAGAGAGAGAGAAACAAAAGCTGAGCATGGATTGTGAGAGAGGGTGTCCATCACCAGAAAAAAAATAATTAAAAAAACAACATCATGACATCTGGAACAGTTCCCCACCAATGTTCATCACGTCTTTCCTTTATTCCGCACGTCATTCCTCGCAATTCCTCTAATTTTTGCCCACGCGTTCATCGCTCTGCACACCTCCTCTTCAATCATCCTGTCCACGTGTCGATCATCGTCGAAGGGCTCTGCTTCGACTCATTCTCGACTTTTCCTCTAACTCTCCTTCACTTTGCGGTCTTCTCTCATCTCTCACTCTTTCTCATGCTTTCTTTCTCTACCCAAGAAGCCTTCCATCCATTTCGATCTCTCCCACAAACCCTTATGTTGCTAAAGCTTGCCTTCCCTCGCTCTCCGATCTCGATTTCTCTCTCACTTTCCTGCTGAAAAAGACCAACCCAGTAGAAATTTCTCCAGTTCTCTCTCTCAAAAACTATAAATCACAGTGGCCAAACTCTAGAAAAATAAAAATAAATAAATAAATGGAATTCGAAAAGCCATTTGCTTTTCCTTGGATTTGGGTTTTCCTTCGATTTCTACACTGTCCAAAACTAGCGGCGTGGATCAAGCTAGGGTTTTCTCTGAGTCGCGATTGTTGCTCTGTCCTCCGCCGTCCGTCACTGTAAGTCCTTTTTTTTTCCAGAATTTTCAATGCATCGTTTTCTCTTCGTGTCCAACTTTTGTGTGTCTCTGTTATAAAATGTTGACGCCGAAGGTTTGTTGCTGAAAAATTGCGGCTACAAGTTTTTTCAGATTTTCCAATTTCGTTGCCAAAAAAAAAAAAAAAAAAAAAACTCCGACGACCAGCGTTTTGTGGTGAGTTTTCCAGTTTTGTCTATGCTCTTTTTTCTAATTTTGGATTTGCAAATGAGTATTCTTTTTTCTTTGTTCCTTCGTGACTTGCATGCTGCTATATAATTTGGTTCTGTTTTTGTTTGTTCTCAAAGTTTGGTGTGTGGGAATCCGTTAGTGCTTCATTTTTGCTCTGTACCAAGAGTTGTTTTCTTCTTTCTTATGGTTGTGAATATATGTATGTGAACATATAAAACCTTCGTTTGGAGTGAATCGAAAAGCTTACTACGATAAAATTATATTTTGTGGTACTTGAATATTAGCCCATGGTATAATCAGTTTCTACTCAAAGTCTAGAAATCAAAGGACCCCAAATTTGCCAGAAAACGAGTAGAGGTTGGTTGTCCTGCAATCTAACCTCAATAATTATGGTTTTCACTTTATAAATTCTGGATTTTTTTAGTTAATTGTTTGGACTTTGAATTGGCTGATGAGGTTATATTAAGTTTTGAACTTTGATTTTTGTTTTGTGTGATTGCAGAGCAAGGAGAATTGACCCCAGTTAGCTCCAACCTTGCGGTGAACTTTTCTTTTTGTTTAGAGTTATGAGAATTCTTATAGAAAAAATTAGAAAAACTCATATTATAATTTTTGGTTTAAATATGTTTTTAATTTGGTCCACCATGTTATGTTTGTTAACAAGAACCTATAAGAGTCTCAAATTCAGTTTCGAACTCTGACTAAAAATGGAACTTGGTGCCTCCTAAGCCCTCAAAATTTAAGTAACCCCATGATTTTTACATTACTGCGTTCGTTTTCTCTACTAATTATTGTTATATGAATTGTATTCTTCTATTAAAAATGATTAATTACACTGTCCAAAAAAAATAAAAAAATAAAAAACCTCATGCATTGTAGGTTTGGGATGATAGTTTAAAAATCAATATGCTCATTAGCCAGTCTGAGAACCTAATTTGGGAAGTGGGTTTTAAAGTTTCAATAGTTTCGTTATGTGTAATTTTCTTGCTTTGCCTACTAAGAATCTAATAACCAAATGCTTAGTTATTTTCTCCAAATGGTTTTCGATTTGTTGTAGGTAAACGAGGGCTACTCTACTGTTTATGCAGCAGGGGAAGGGAAGGGAAGTAAAAATTATAAGCAAATGCGTATAAGTTACAAGCTTTTAATTAAAAATAGAAATGGAGTGACAACAAACAAAATATAGGTAAAACTGACCACTACATTCTTTCTATTTAAATATAAATCAATTGATTAAGTTTGTGTCTATACAAGTTTAATATGAAGTTATGTGTTGATTTTAAAAGAACCATGCATGCTGGATTTTTATAGAAGTGTCATGAAAGTTTTATACCAAACTTTTTACAGGGATTAAGTTCATTTAAGTATGGGTCGTTTTGTATTTGAAATCTGAAAGGAGAAACAGAAATTACAAGAAGAAGAGGAAGATTGCGTTCCGATCATGGCCTTCTCTTCCTGCTCTTTATCCAAATCCTGACAAGTTAGTTACTCAACCTTCACTTCTCATCCGTCTCCTTTTTTTGATTTTAAAAGAACCATGCATGCTGGATTTTTATAGAAGTGTCATGAAAGTTTTATACCAAACTTTTTACAGGGATTAAGTTCATTTAAGTATGGGTCGTTTTGTATTTGAAATCTGAAAGGAGAAACAGAAATTACAAGAAGAAGAGGAAGATTGCGTTCCGATCATGGCCTTCTCTTCCTGCCTCTTATCCAAATCCTGACAAGTTAGTTACTCAACCTTCACTTCTCATCCGTCTCCTTTTTTTTTTCTTTCTTTTTATATTGTTTGGCTTCTGAGATTTGAGAAAATTAGGACATTTAAAGATTTTGATTTCATTTTAAATTTTCTTAAATTTATTGATTATTAGATGACATAGTTTGTGATATACTGTAATTGATTTGAGTGATTATAATTTTAATTTTTCATGGTTAGAGCGGCATCGCGATGAAATGGGTATGAATTAACATATTTTGTGCGTTTGAATCCTCAATGAAGTTGTTTACTACAGTAATTGTGTTTGTTTGATAATAGGGATCTTATTGAAAAGCAAGGAAGAAGAATTGAATTAGATTATTGCGGGGCTCAAGAAAAACTATGCTTCTTTACAAGAGAAATTTACGAAATAAGAGTTGGATAAGATGGTAAGTAGATGGGTTTGATATTCATTGTGGCTGAATTTAGGTAACTTCTGTACATTATTAAATGTTTTGAATATGTCTATCAGGCTGCAATGGAATCTCTCATTATGGAAAGAGAGGCTAGACTTGAAATTGAGCGACGACAAAATTCCCTCTCATATGAGCACAGGAGAGTTCAAAGAGAGCTTTTAAGTGCTACTCAGAAGGTAGGCTCCATGTGCAATTGTTCTTGCTATTTAGGCAATTTCCTGGAACATTGAGTAGAAAAACAAATTAGAATTTTGTTGGTTTTTTCTTTTATGAAGTGTAAGCGTTAATGCATTTCATCCTAATATGCAACTTATATTAGTATCGCATTTTGAAAGGTTAGCATCTCAAGTGAACCAAATTTACCATTTTCCATTTAAATGAATTTTAAGATAACCTCCGGTCCATGTTTGTTTAACAATTTGTTATAATTCATTATATAGTTTTCAAAAAGGTCGTGCATAATTCTTGCTGAACTTGGTTTGGGTTTCTTTTGTTTACGGATGAAGTGAGTTAATCACAGTTCTATCTGGTTAGTCATGTTCCCATTGTTGCATGACTTTTTGAACAGAAAACAAGGTTTATTATTTCAATTTCCACATCTACTTTTGATTTGGTAGATGTTGATTAATCTCATCTGTACCTGTTACTATTTTGTGGCTATATATGATTTATTTGACTTCCCAATTCTATATAATTAGTTCCATTGAAATACATTTGGCATACGTTAATTCTGCCTTTCTACAATTTCTACAATTTCTCATTGCTGCTTAAGTGGAACAAAATTAACTCAAACATTGCTTACGAAGAGAATGAAGTTGCATAATCTTTCATGAAATTTTCAATCCCGCAGTAACGCGCGGGCACAAATATCTAGTAATCTTTTAAAACCCCTGCAAAAAAAATACACAGGAAAGAAAAGAAAGAAAACGGGACTTAGGAAAGATATGCAATAAACTAAATATAAATTTACACGATAACAGAAATATATTTTTATATAAATTAAAAAACATACCAGTTCTGCTTTTCTGGAAGAATGCTTGGCCCTTGTTCATAAGATTGTAATTTTGAGGATCAATCGTTTTTTCAGCCATGTTATCAGAATTATCCAACAAATTAATAGGTTTTTTTACCTTTTCGATCAGAAGGCTGAACAATTTTTTCAACAGATGCAGTATGCTGCACTTTTATCATAATTAGCATTTTTCAAATCGCATTGTACAACAGCTGATCCACTACTACTACACTGATGTTTAAAATATGGAGTTCGAAGAAATGTATCAATCTGAGATAAAACAGCGTTTTCATGATTTTCAAGATAACTGGTTCTACACACTTTTCTTGGCTGATGGTCACACTGAACCAAGACATTATATTCATTATCACTATTTGTTTGTTTTTTTGTTGTTATCATCATTGACCAACGCATTTATAGATCTTTTAGACATGTTGAAAACAAATTGTTATGAGGAAAAGCGAAGAGCTGCAAAAAAAGATTGGAAAAAAAAAAGAAAAAAAAAGTGAAAAAAATTAACACATAAATCACACAGCAAAAAAAACATAACAAACATTAATTATGAACAAACCATCAAAAATTAGGATTTCAATTTAAAACACAATTAAAGTTAAAGGAAAATACCAAGTTTATTCATACTTTATAAAACAAAATCGAAACAAATACTTAAAATTTGATCTTAACAATTCCAAAATTTTAGCTCACTCACCTTTAGTACAGAAATCTTTCAAACACAAAGACAAAGACGCCAAAGCGTGAAAGCACAGTATTTTGAAACCCTCCTTTTTTTTCCAACTTGCAGAGTTGAAATTTTTCAAGCACCTGTATTTGTCAAGAGAAATCATCACATTATATCAATAAAAAAAATCATCGGTAACAAAATCGACACACATGAAAAAACAAACAGTGTACAAATAACATTCAGGATGAAAATGTGCTTGGTGAACAGAAAGACAAAGAATGGTTCACGTGGCCACCCCAAAACAGGTTGAAAATTAAGCTTCACTATGAATGGAAAGATTAATAGATGATAATTAAGAAGGCCTGATACCCAAGCCAAAAATCGGAGATATCCTTTGTAAACAAAAAAGATTGAGCATTTCCACTAATTTTTTTTTTTGGGGGGGGGGGGTGTTTGGGAAAGCTCATAAAAAGACATCAAATTTTATACTTATTGCATGCAAGGTATGCAACAGCTTCCCACCGCTTAAAATCACATAAATAAAAGGAATAGAATCAAGAAAAAAAAGTTAATTACACAATAATTACACCTTCACTAAGATTAATAAATTAACCAAGGAAAATAAATTATAAAAATGAAGACCATGAGAATAATTGGCTCACCTTTGTACTGTGATTTGCTGCCAAAAACAAAAATAATGTCATATACATTAAGCCTGCCTAATTACTAAAAACAAAACATTTTGCGAGAAGTAAGAACATACCCAAACTTGTTTGCAAATAGATGAGAAAATTTTATACCTGAAACAAATGGGAAATTTATTAGGAAAGATAGATCAGCCCATATGTGTGTGTAATCTATATGCAAAAAACTACTTTCTTCATCAGCCAAATCGTTTCACAAATAAATAAAAAAACAGAATCATATCTTGAACAATGCCAATTAATGATTTCCCATTTCCTTAAGCCCAACATGAAAGCCAATGAACTAATGAAAGAGCGAAAAACAGAAACAAAAAACCTCAATTAAGCAATCAACTGGAATCAAATGGAGAACTATTTAACAGACCTGGAAAACTACTATAAAAGGTTTGAAAATTACCCAGTAAGATTAAAAAAAAAAAAGATGAGATGGAGCGAGAATCACATACCAGCAACACGTTTAAATATGTAG